GTACATACATGCATATCCGTCAAATCTATTTTGCGAGAGGGGAATTACAATGAGACTTCAATACTATATGCTGTGAATGAAAATCGTCTATAGACAGAAGTCCTCTGTTTGTTGTCCATGTTTCCCATGTCCACTCTAGATCTGCAAACTATGTGCGCCTCTACTACTACCAAAAAAATGCTTTGAAATATTAGCATAGCCTCTCCACAGCTGATATAGATACTGTGCAGTTCAGATTTCATAGGATTCAAGAAAATAGTACTTCAATATGCCTGCATCTTGCAAAGTTAAATGGAGCTGTTGAGGGGCAGTCATGTTACATGCGGCAACACATGGCTGCCACACATCAGAGCTGGATGTATTCCTGCAGTCGGAATGTGAATAAACGAGGTTGGTTCGGTCGTATCGACCAGGAAGAGGCAGACGAAGGGAACGATCACTGTGCAATTTTAGACTGCTAAAAAAAAATAAAAATAAAAAATAAGTGTGGGTGCGCATCAGACGACGCGACGTCGACATAATGCCGCCACAATTAAGTAAGTACCTAATAGTGGTCGTAGTATGATTCTAGCGGGAAGGCATATGCACGGCAGCCCTGCTGGCCAGTCGACTTGTTACCAGCAGTCGTATTTATTATGATGCCATTACGCTACTGGTATATATGCCTACTTAATTAACCCCCCGTTGCTAAGCTGTCTGTCGACTGGATCTCCCGGAGGGCTATATAAAGACGGGCCCCCAGCTGGGCTGTCGACCGTTGATGCGTGCCTGCCTCCAGTCTGTCTGTTGTTCTGTTCCGCCCTCCTTCTCTCGCCCACCTGAAAGTTGATAATCCCGCCACCCCTCCTTCAATCAAATTCATCGCATCCATCTTCACAGACTCACCTTTCCCATCACCGCGCTCACCATCTTTGCGTCCCCCTTTTCTCGTGCAGATACTGCCAGCTAAGTTTCCGCCGCCTTGCTATCGCGCAACTTATCTCTCACACGAATCCCCGGACTTTTTTTGCTGTCCAATATCAAATCGGCTGGTAAGGCAGACAACGTACGTAGCCTCAGCCCGCGCAACAAAACTCGCTCGCCTACAAGTCCCACAATCTGTCCCTCTCCCTCTCTCCATCTCCTCCTTCGCAAGACGAGAAAAAAAAATATATTATCACCGTATCATCAAATATAAAAGAGCCGGAGAAGTATAAGAAATCCCGCAAAAATGGCCCCAACCACCACTACTACGACTACCGCTCCCAAAGGGAAGGTTGGTCGCCCGAAGAAGACCTCCGGCACGGAGCCAACCCGGCGATCCACCAGAACCATCACGCCGCGCACAATCTTCAGCGAGAGCGCCGGCGTCACCAAGCCAAGAGCTGCTCCTAGGAAGCGAAAGACAACAGTCAAAGACAAGGTTGTCGGCGCCGCTAAGAAGGTTAAGGGCACCGTCACTCGCAGACCTGCCGTCAAAGCCGCTGGCACAAAGAAGATGAGGTAAGATGCCAATTTTTCCGCTTTTTTTTTCTCTTTCCTTCCCATCTACCAAATTTCTATGGGATGGCAACAATACACTATCTCCGATCCTCACACACAACCTTTTTCCGAACACTGCTAACACGTGAATCCTACCACAGGGGGACAGACGGCAAGGGATCTAGGAAGGCGAAGCCTATTGCAAAGGCTTGATTGAAATATTTTTCAATCTCATCTTTTGCTACCTTTTTCTCGCTTGCTGCTCGCGGATCTTTTCTGTTGCTTTTCTTCTTGTTGCTTCTATTCTCCTATGAATTTTTCGGGGGTCTGATATGGAGCCATCGTCGTTGCTTTAATGGCTTTGGTTATTTTTGCCTTCAGGGCCTTATTCCTTCCCACTCGGTTTATCGGCATGACAGGAGCATAGACGAATGCGTTGATGGTCCGAGACCTGCCTTTTCATTGCCTACATTCTTCTGCCGTTGAAGCTGCGGATTTTTTTCACGTTGGGCATTCTACTCGATGTTCTTGTTTCTCTTCTTCTTCTTCGCTTCTTCTCTTTCGCCAGATGGAATATTAGGGAGAGAATGAGGGAGGCTGCTGGTCTTGTCATTATTCTATCTCATGCTTCGTGGGGGATTGGTTGATTTCGTTCATGTTTCTATATCGAAGGGAGCAAGACGATGGTTTCTATACGACTATCGCAATCATACTCCTCATCTCATATCCCCAGCTCCTCTCTTCTCTTCGTCCATTCGCAAAACCTCTTCATGCATCCACTCTTGATCGCGATATCGATGTTTCCTCGTATACGCATCGCCTGAGCGCTTGTCGCAATACACATACAGTCAGCTGCTGCTAGCTATTTCCTTTGTCCATCCTATTGATACCATGAATTGGAGAATGTTAAATTCTACATTACGTCCGCAAGCGATATCGCCTTAAGTGCAACAAGCAGCAAAACAATCGCATAGTGAACCTGATAGCCGCTGTCACGCATTGCATTCGTTCAGCCTGTTTTGTGAAGCGCAATCTTTTCATATATATATATATATAATATGGTCTACAATGCATGCAAGGTCCAAGTGCTAGTGCGTGGCGCATGTACATCGCATGAGCTCCGACCCACGGGATGGATGTATAAATCAATTATATCAAGTGCTATCATATAGTTCTGTCAGTTATATTACTGCCCTATAAATGACTGCTTCCGGTACTGGCCTGGGGTGGTAGCCTAAAGACTCATCCATGGTACCAGAATCTCTAATTCGATATTCAAGACAACCAAATTTACATTCCCGGTGTTCATGAACTCATCTATTGATTTGTCGTCTTCAAACGAAATCAATTGTCTATATATATAGCGTCCGTTGCATGCCGTTCAACTTCGCCCCCGAACAGAATTAGTATCTTATCCTTGCAAAGGGTTGATTAAGGTTCTAATTGATCAGATAGACACCCCACCGACAATATTCCCTAATAATAGTCTGATCACAGCATGAGCCACTGGCTATATATATGTATATTATTCACAGATAGTCATTGATATCGTTCAGCCTTCGACACAAGCAACAGACAACTATAAACATCCTCAGGTTCGTAAGCCCGTTCCGCCCGTTTGCAATGGCCAGCACACGAGCCAATCTTGCGCCCAGGCTATGTCCACATAGGCATAGCCCAGTCGTAAGACTGTCTCATGTGCTAGCCATCGCAAGCGATATACATGCATGCATGCATCTCCCGAGCGAAATCAAGCATCGGACCGTCGTCGGACGCAGCGTCGCATTTTTGAAGATATGAGAATATACTACAGACGCTTTTGCAACCGCAAACTTGCGTTTATTTACACCAACCCCATAAACCACCGAACCCAGAAATGCAATGGACAATGAAAAAAGGCAACATGAAGCAGATCGAAGGACGTGCCTCCAAATACTACTTTCTGTACCACATCCTTGTGATCTAGGTAGACAGTTAGCTTGTACAGACAAATTGGTGTTCTTGGGGTGAGTAACGTACCTTTGTATTCCGCATCTTCTTCTGCAGCTGCATGATACCGTACATCAGCGCCTCCGCCGTCGGTGGACAGCCGGGCACATAGATGTCAACCGGCACGATGCGATCACAACCTCTCGTCACCGAGTACGAGTAATGGTAGTATCCGCCGCCGTTCGCACACGAGCCCATGGATATGACCCACCGAGGGTCCGGCATCTGATCGTACACCTGCCGCAGGGCGGGCGCCATCTTGTTGGTCAGCGTGCCCGCGACAATCATGACGTCGGACTGTCGGGGGGACGCGCGGAAGATGATGCCCAGGCGATCTTGGTCGTAGCGTGGGGTTGACAAGTGCATCATCTCTACGGCGCAGCAGGCGAGGCCGAAGGTCATGGGCCAGAGGGAGCCCTGCCGCGCCCAATTGGCGATGGCATCGAGGGTTGTTCTAGAGGTTGTAAGATATCAGTACTACATTGAGAGTTTGGAAGAGGTAGCGAGATGGGATGTGGGTGGGGCATGAGTGGTCTGGGGGTTACGCACAGAGCGTAGTCTACAACGCCTTCGGGCTTCTGTTGGCTCGGAAGTGGGACCTCCTTCCTCGGGACAACGCTCATTTCGCCGGCGTGAGTAAGATTCGAGGCATCGCGCTTCGATCGTAGCGGATATGTCGCTATCGTAGCGGGCACTAGGGAAGCTGGAACGATCAATGCATATATTAGCCTTGGGTCTTATAATCTTGTGGTGGCTCTTGTCTGAGATGCTTGGCGAGTGCGGAGCAAAGACTGGTTGGGGTCGTACCTCGAGGGATCAGGGCTGAAGCTGCACTTCGGGCCGTCAGGGCACGTCGAGGTATTATCGACGCCATGGTTTGGTCTGCCGGTGAAGGGTGGATGGGGCGAAATGGCGATGGCGAGGCCAAAGAGGTGAGGTCGCGGGTTCAGAGCTGTCGTGGCGGGCGTGGCAATCGCATGCCGTCACAGACGAAATCGGCCCGCTCTCATTGGCCCTGGCTGGCATCACGTGGAAATCTCACAACGCACGTTTTGCAACACTCCACAAGATGCTTCAGGCAACTTTTCTACGGCTGGGAGCAGCAGCTAGATCCACCCCAAACGCTCGGTTGCTTGCAGCACTTCTCTCTTCCGAGGAGACCAAGGGACATGATATCCATTAGCTACTCAAGCAAAGATACAGACATACTGGCAATGCATGGTAAATGCACTTGTCCAGAAATACAGCGAGTCTCAATATGCAAACACATGTTTTAGCACCAGGCCATATTGGGCTCCCAAAGGCCGGCTTGCTATGCACGGTCTACACTGTGTTTTTCGATATAAGACCAGTTATATCCGCTTAATTCCCTTGAACTCTTGCTGTTTGGCGCGTGAAACCTCCGAGCCGGACGTGGTATCTGCTAACAAATACTGGCCCAGCAACCGAACGAGAAAACACGCACAATTCCATCCACAGAAGATGCAAAAAGAGATCAACGCTTCAAAAAGCTGAACCATAGACGCTCGAAGAGCAAAAAGAACGATGACTGTTCGCGGCCGGGTTCGAACCGACGACGTCCAGAGTCCCCAACTCAGCCGAGCTGTAGATGCCTCAGCTGGTCATGTGGATCTGGCGAGATAACCACTACTCCACGCGAACTTTTCCCGTTGACAAAACTGCAAACGACACGCAATATATACTGCAATATTTGCACATTTTATACTTAGCCAACGCTCGGCATATTGCAGCTCATTGGTCACGCAAAACGACGTACAACCGGCACCAGTTCCAACCACACGAGAGCCTACAGACGAAGACGGGAGCTGCATCGCGAGAACGACTCCTGAGTCTCGATACTATTAGGTCTCCCGTCTCGACACCAATCAACTGGACCCGATGGTGGCGTGGAGCTACCCAGAACTAGTTTATGCGCTTACATAAAAGTACACTAGTCGCCAACTGGCTCGAAGAACAGCCAGCACACTGCTCGTTTCCGCGGGATACCGACCCATCTACCCTGCGCCTAGCCAGGTCACACCAGCTCTAAAGACAGATCCGGTCCCGTGGTCTAACTTCCCAATGGTGGCGTATATCGAGCAATCTGATTTGGCGGCGATAGTCTCCGGTTCCAACATCCAGTTCTTGGTAATCGCTGACCAAAAGCGCTACTATCCGAGTTAGGCGTAACCGCATGCGAGCAAATTGTCGTAGGTTTTTTGCAAATGGGTTCACTATTAGTGCAGGTTTGCAGGGACTAAACTCGATTGTCGGTGGTAAGACAATTGTCAAGTAGCTCGTCTCCAAGCGTGACCGGCGGATCGAAGTACCCAGGTAGCTGGGTGCCCGAGCGAGATCGATTTCCACTGCTGAGGATCGATCTAGGATGACGTGCAGTGTGCTCCGTCTCAGTGGCTCGCAGTCCAATTCATACACAACGTACACATCATACTATATGAATTCACTCGCGGCAATATGGTAATTGAATGCGTAAGTCTCTCTCACGGCAAGCAAGCCCGCGACGTCCACAGAAAGGCCAACGTACACCTAAGCATTGCACAACTATCACCCAACCAGCTGCCTCAATAGGTTCCCCACTTCACCACTTCCTGCATATCCAAATGCATCCAACAGACAGAAAGAGTAATATCTTTAAACTGTTGGAATGGGTCCGGCTTTCTGCAAAATGAGGAGCCGAGGTTGTCCCTTTCCGATACTCAGCATACTTATCCCGCTCATCGAGACTATATCCTCGATATCACAAAATAATCCTTGATATCACAAATTTTCCAATATGCAATAACGCAGTCACATCATACATGATTCGAGCGGATATATAGCCCACGAATCCACCAAATTGTAAGTACTCCCGTTGGAATCCCAAGCCTGCATTAATGCATGTTATCTGTTGTACGCTAGCTGTAGCTATAATCAAGCCGTGTCTATATTATCCTAACCATAGCGGCGTCCCCGAGACTATCCTAACCAGGATAAATCTCAGGCGAAAACATGCGCCTGCGTCTGCGGCTGGCGGATTAGTTTCCAGTTAGTCCAGTGGACCCAACAGGTTGGATGCTGCCGTCTCACGCTTAGAGTCACGGCGAATCTCCACTGACAATATAATAAGCGTAATACTGCTACCGAGCGCAAAAGCCGAGACATTCGTACTTCCACTTGCAGGTATAGTGCACACTGTCCAAAGTAATTGCATTCTGGTCGGCCCCGTGGGTGGACTTGTTTGTTGATCTATCAGCTGGCTAGTTTCAAACCAGCTTCAATACTGACTTTACAAGCGCAGGCCAACCTTAATTCTGCGAGGGATTTACAGAGGCACACCCACTCTTTGCACAAACGCCCACAATTAATAACAATCTGCATAGCAATATCACGGTTTCGAAATACGCTGTGTTACCATACTCTTTACTTACCGCCGAAAACTTGACACTCACACAGTGCACCAACTAACGCATAATTAAGACCCGGTACTTTTCACCAGGTCCGTGCAGAGAGAAAGTCAATTTGCGATAACAAAATAATATCTGCCCGGTAAAGGGGACACCGGCTCGATACCCACTTGCCGATACAAGCGTGAAACAAGCCCAATGTTGTACAACCATACCTCCAAGCACAGCACACTTCCGCCAGCTGGACGCCAACTCGAGAGCAATTATCAAGTCTGTAATTACAATCACGCCGCGTTATCCGGCCGCGGATCCGGATAATGACACATCCAGACTGAACCAGTTATCAACACCCAAAACTCAAGCCATACATGCACAACAATGCAAGAAATCAATCGAGATAGGAAATATATATTAATCTTCCCAATCAGTATATATTCACTCCACCAAGTCGGCTTGACCGACCCTGTCCACCGCGGCTCACATCCGATTGATCAATCAAAGCTGCGCCTGCATGCACGTTAGCTTGCAGGAGAAAGTCGAGTTGCACGGGACCGCATATTCCGGTATCGAGAGCTCGGTTCTTAAGACTAGACTGTCCTGCCAACATTTGCGAGTTGGACATGCAGTCGTATATCACCTATTCGGGAAGTATACTAGCACTCGTGCATACACCGGTAGGATCTCTCCCGCCGGAGCTCGAGGCCGTCTAATATGCATGTATATGTCAATACTTACCAATCACCGTTCAATTCCAACACGGATGCGCATGTACAGGTTCCGGAGAGCAACCTCATGGGGATAATTAGCCTCGATGGGACCCAACCGCATGCGCACCTACGCGCAGTTGGCACTTTCGAGCCCAAAAAGCCGAGGAAGCGGTGCCGCCACCGCTGCTGTGAACCACTGATCCCTGCACCGTACATACAAGGTACCTAGGTATCCACCGCAATCTGATACGATACGTAAGCAGACGCCGACCAACTACGGCTGAACGAGAGTGTGCGAGTCCAGGCATACCGCCCATCTGTCTTTCTTTCGCAAAGCAGCGGGTCGCCGTATTCGACATCCGATCCAGCGATGGCGTCAGGCCTGAACATGGCCTGTCGCTGTACGGGTTTCCGAGCCTCCAAATCGATCCAAGCGGCCGCATTTACGACCTTAGCGTACAGTGATAGGCAGGCACGGTAGCCGGAAAAAAGTGCGTCCGTGTTAATGTTCTCAGTCTGTCTTCGGCGCTCGTATAGCGTGATTAGTATACAAGGAAACCTGCTCAGTACGTAACATTATACGTGGCGGTGTCGCATAACTTAACGCGGTATCGTCATCTCGTATACCACCGATCTACATCCCTGCATGCTCCTACCATGTATATATAATTATATTACTACGGCACTTATATATACCATCAATTGATCAAGTGTGCGCATTTTCGCTGGCTTCCAAACGTTGCGACCTGTCGTATTGGGTAATTCCGCGTAAGGCGGAAGGTACCTTTGCCAGGATGCGGACATGGGGATGGGATGAATACACATGATGTAGATATAACGGGCCTAGTACTGTGGCTTTTTCCGACCGGACGCCGGGTGACTACGCCCAAGGCGGTAAATTCCTTCGCACGACATGCATGATATCAGTTCACCGCTTGCTGGACTGTGTGCGGCAAGATTAATTAATATTTCTGTTCAGTACGGCGAGTAAGCGGCGGTGCATACTACGATACGATTTGATGAGTCGACCCTGTCGTTAGACCGGCATTCTAGTCCCGACCTTACATGCAGAGCTCAGCTCTGTCATTATCAGCCGCTCGATCAGGATGCCTGCGGGTCACCGGACATGGCTTCATCCGCGGTGGGTGAAACTGAGAATTTTAATTGAAAAAGAGATAGATCGGATCCATGAAGGGTAAATTTGACTTTCCAGGGAGAGAGCGGAGCTCCTGGTTGGCTGCAAATACGTACATGGCCAGCATGCAGATCGATCGTTGATTTTACGTATGTATCACTCGTGGTCCGGTCGAGGCTTCAGTTGCTGTGATACGATGCTAACTCGCGCGCTCTAGTGCTTGACTTAGATGCACGTAGGACAGGGCTATCGCCTCGTAACGATGGCTTGGCCAACTTGCACATGTTGGATGTCGACTTGATATTTAGAGACATGCATACATGCAAGCAGGGGTACCGATTTCTGTACCCCCCTCTTTTAGTCGACTATGTCATATCCATCTCATTTTAACACGCTAGCTAACTCGACTATATCCAACAGACGGCTCGCCATTAGTCTCGGGGACGCTGGCTCGCCATATGCATATGCATATGTATGCATCTTGCAAGTCAAATTCCGGAAACGTGGGCACGGTGACGGGCTCACCTCTTCGATTAATTCCAAAAGCCAGAGCCTCGGAAGGATCATGTCATCGGTTAATGATCATATTGGAAGAAAACTCGAGTAGCCCCTGAAGTACAGGTACATTACATGCACTTGACAGACCCAGCGCGAGAGATTCGTTAATTGCCTGCCGCCTGAAAATCGAATGGAGCGCGGGTACTTGGGGTAAGAACGTTGGTTGGCATGCGGGCTGGCACACTCATGCACGTCGGTGGCACAGCATCTGCATCTTCAGGTGTGAGCGAGCGAGCGAACGAGAAAAAATTTGCGCAGACAGATGCAGACATAAGTGTAGCTCACATCGATGAGGAAGGATAGTACTGTAGTATGGTAGGCTATCTTCCTTAAGCTTCCGAATTCAATTCCGCCAGACTGGAATATTTAGCTGCAGGTGGCAGAGACGTCAACGTCGAGCGAACTAACCAGCAGCAGCAGCCTTGCCCCAACCAACAACAATGCACGATCCCGCGGGTATGTGACATTCACGACGCTCAACCAGCCGGCGGTCTGGCGGTATCTCCTCCCCTGTCCAACATCCACAGTCTTATGATCACCATCCAATTCGTATCCAACAGCGCGAGTGATGGGTAAATCCACACTCACTCAATCGGCGCTCCATCGGCAGCTGGTCCAACGTGGTCGATTTTGCGTTGGCAAGGTTTGTTTGGTCTGGTTTGCGCCGCTTCGCAGCTTCGTATCGCACTGACCCTCGGCCTCGGGCACGTTAACTTCTCCGCTAACTCACCTCGTAGCATGTTTGCAAGTGCCCAGCGCAGGTCATCTGGCCACGGCGGGCTGTCTGAAACCGCAGAGTCCTCGCGGCGACCTCTGTGCCGCGGATGCATGAGGGCGTCACATCCTCGATCAATCACC